GAGGTCTTAGCCATCCCGGCCCTCCTGCTGCACCACGACTCGGAGCTGCTTCCGGGAACACCTGTGCTAACCCCTGGTGGGGCCCCCGCCCAGAGCCACCTGCTCAGGACAGGTCCGAGGAGCCCGAGGCTGGCGGGAGCACAGCACAGCGCCTGCCTGCTGCAGGGTGCACCGCAACTCGGTGACATCTAGAAACCAGCGCCTGTCGTAAGAAACGGGCTCCCCGCAAGAATGGGTCCCCACGAGCGTAGCCACAGCACTCTGGCTAACCCCTGCAGCCTCCTGCAGAGAACCCCACCCCCACCCCGGGGTGCTGATCTGCTCCCGAACGCCAGCTGAGCGGACATATTTAGAGTCACAGAAGGGTTTAAGACGGCCAGCAAAGGGGCTGGAAATAGCGTCAATCAGCCCGATCGATCATTTGGCCCTGGCAAAACGAATTGCAACGCCGGCTGGTTCGAGAGTAATATTAACGATGAGGTGGGAGGTGTAGAAGCTTTAGAAAATAATCCCAGGCATAGTATTTAGAAGTAATTTTCCCTAAGGTGTTTCAAACTATGTGTACTTTTCAGGCGCTCAATTCAGCTTTGCGTAAAGCCGGCCCGCGACGACCCCGTCCTGGCGGCTCGGTGCCCGACTGCCCACACCCACTGAAATCAGACCAGCCTGGGGGATGAAAGACACAGCAGCTGTCACCAGTGGGAGGCAGCTGGTACGTGCACCCAGATCCCCGTTTGGTTTACGCAGCCGTGGGTATCTGGTTAACGTGCAGGGGCCCACGCGAACCAGGACAATCTTACCTTGCACGGGTCACCCTCACCATCAGGATCCTCATCTGATCTCGGTCTTGATCAGAAAAGCCACCCTTTCTCAGGGCGCTGGAGGGGGCCGGGTAGCTCGATCGGGTGAAACAGGCTTGAGCCTGCTCATGTGTCCTTTGGCAAATTCCTCAAACAAGCCAACATGTGATATCTGGGTGTTTGGCTCAGCCCAGGAGTTACTTACGGAGCGCCTTTTTATAAACTAGCCACTTTCGGAAGGAAAGTACCCAATCTGTGTTGCACCTCTCTCTGTAATGTCAGAAACCGCTCAGTAATTTAAGAGATGAGCCAGGTTAGTGGCTGCCTGGCGATGGAGGAAGAGAAGACAGCAAGGTTTAAGCAGAGACTTAAATCTAGACAGAGCAGGAGGCATGTTACTGATTTAAGAGAAATCGTGTTCAAACCACCCATTGGTGCCTTTGTAATAAAGAAAGTAATGCACTAGTTTGGAGTTTGAGTCGTTACCACATGCAGAATTTCCAGCAGCAATTCGCCACGTGTTGGAGGGCAGCGACAGGTCCTAATGTGAACTAATTAACCACTGTGGGTAATTTCATCCCCATTTGTAAACAAAGCGCAATTTCAGATTTTCTAATTTTCTAATACCTCCAGCTGTAATTAAAAATCGATGCAAATTTTTTTTTGACATTTTAAGCACCTAAGTGTGTAACTGAAAGTGTGTTTCAAAAAAGAGAAGTATTTGAACAAACTGCTGGGTTTGTTTCTGTATCCGGTTATACCTATCACTTAAAATATGAAATTCTATGGAAGCCAGATCATCATCCTGCTCGGTCGTCACTGAGAAGAACCCGGGTCTGGAGCATGCAAGACGGTTTCTACGTAGTGGCTGCCGTCAATCCTTCTGGGCAAACGTCTGAGCCCTCACACCTGAGCTATGGGTCAGCCACTCAGCCGGCAAGCCCAGGACCCACCCCCGTCCCCCCGCCGACCATTCTCGGGGTGCGGATGCCGTGCTGAGCGGAATTCAGACGGTCTATTTTATATCCCTAACAATGCTCCTCCGGTTCAAAAACAAGCTTCTAAACATATGGGACGATATCCAACTTCACACACAACGACAGAAAGGCCCGTGTAAACACGAAAACCATGGGGTCACCTGTAACATTCACGAAGAGAACCGAAATAAACTTCACAACGCCCGAACCTTCGGACTCAAAAACTCCCACGCCGTGATCTAGAAGCACACGCAGGCAGGCCTGGGGGCACAAAGACGTCACTCGGCAGCACTGCCACCCTGGGGACACACTGGAAGCACCACACATGGGCCCAGCAGAGAGCATCTGTTGAACAGTGGAAGTACCCAGACCGCGGAGCACACGGGCTGGTTCAGAGAAATCACGACGCAGACCTCCGGGCACTCGCCGTGGAGCAAGCTCCCCGCTCGTGCAAACGCGCGAGCACGTGTGTATTTCTCAAAGGAAACTCAAGGGACCACTACGGACCATGCTGCTCTCCGGAGAGGCAAACTGCGTGTGCGTGTGTGTGCGCGCGCATGTATGTGTGTGTGCGTGCGTGTGCAAAGGGGGGTGTAAGTTTCTGCATTCCACCAATTCCCTTCCCTTTGGAACACGGATGTTTGACGATGCCCCCACGTATGACTCAAAGACTAAAAATAGAGTAAAAAGTTACCCTTGGGGTACATTGTAGCCGGCGTGCCAACATCTGCCCGCCAGGGGTCAAACTTTTCGTCTTGATCACAGTGCAAGAAACCGACTCCTTCTGGGGACTGTGCAAAACAGAATGTGATGGCTTCCTGGTGACCGATCCTCCTGACTTCTGTAAACACAGGCGCAGACCCTAAAGGCGTCTCCTCTTTACAAATGCAAGGAGCTCGGTCTTTTTATTGTTATAAAACGAATAAGCTATGGAACTGTATACTTGAAAATGGTTAAGATGGTAAAAAATTTGTGTGTCTTTCACCACGATTAAAACTTAGGAAAAAAAAAAAAAAAGGAACATCTATAAATGTTTTTTGTGTGTTCCACTCAACTTGACTTTGCTGGGCACCCATCCCCGTCTGTAAGTGCTGATGCCAGCTGCCTCAGTGAACAGTATGGATGTCCCTAACTGATTTCAGCAATTCCTCTTTGTTAAATGTCTAGGATCCCAGAAATGAAATTCTGTGTCCACGATACGCCATTGGAAACATGCTGCCCAACTGCTCACCAGGAAACTCGTCTCATTCGTAATTTAATCAGCATTCCGTCGAATAGGTCTCCACGGTCTCACCAACTGTGGGCACTGCTAGTCTGTTAGATCTGTGCCAACGTGAGAGTCAAAACCCAGGGTCTCGTTTTTAAATAACCTCACAGACTCCTAGTTAAACTTCTTCTCATATGCTGGTTTCCTACTCGCGCTTCTCATTTTAGAAACGGGCTACCTGTGTCTTCCATTCAACTTTCTACGGGGATGCCAATTCTATTCTTCACGTATATCACTACTAAACCAACTTTATCATATATCTGCTTTTTAGACTCTACAAGAAGGCCTGACACTGACGGACATGTCATTTTACCTTGTGACATACAGCCAGTAAAAACATTCCTGCCTCCTGATTCCGTGCCGCCAACAGGTGTCAACATCTCAGTCCGTTTTACGTGCAGCTGCCTGCCCTGGGCTGGCCAGTGTCACACTGGATCGGTCTGACTAAAGGGACCCCAGTGTCAGCTCCCCGCACAAAGCCACTAGGGATGCTCATCCAGCTGCATTTCGAGCCAATCTGAATCAACGAACCCAAGCCCTTCGCTCGGCCCTGTGCGTCAGGCACCGCAGTAAGCAGCCCAGAGCTTGTCTACAGTGTCAGCTAAGCTGCTGCTTTCCTCAAAAAACAGACGAAACTGTCCCCGCAGTAAGCCAGCGGGCCGGCTCGTGTTTGGGGGCACCGGCAGCCCCACTAAGGAGACAATAGGGGAGGCAGAAGAAGGAACCCCAATCCCACGGGGGTCTGGGTGATGACTCCCAGAGACGGTTTATAACTCCTGCCTGAGCTCTACGGAGCAAGGTGCCCAGAGCATCCTTGCCAACGCTCCGGAATCTACCTGCGTCCTGTGAAAACACGTGTCCTGTCTCGCGGAAGGGTTCACGAGGTGACCACAAAAGAGTAATTGTACAATATGACGTGTGGCCTCTCATGTCCCTCTTCCCCAAAGAGCTTCATAACTGCCACTCTGAGATCTTTATTTTTCGGATTTGAGATGAGCTTGCTAAACCAGTGTGGCAAAGGACGTCAGTCTGTCCTTCCTTGTTCCTGAACCTCCACCTTCGATATCGTTTTGGTTAAATTAAAAAAAAAGTCAAGGCCTTTGGGACTTTGACTTCAACTCCATACTAAAACTGGAAGCAGGTGCTTGAGTCGATTTATTGTTTAAAATTTACAGCCAGTCTTGAAAAGAGTCCACAGATGCGGCTAAAAAGGACATGGAAACAGTAAACTATGAATTAGTCGACTACAAAATGCAAGGTGTGGCATTATTTTTATGTGAAAACTACAAATCACAAACACCTTTGCGGTGTCTGGGGCACTGTTCTACTTCCTGTGTATACAGTCATCATCTTCCTAATTTGCTTTCTAGTCTCTTCAAGTCGTCCGAATGTCTATCAACCATCTACTTGCTGTGACTTGGCCGCTGGGTCCCCTCCGAGCTCAATACAGCGCTAAGAACAGCTGGTGGCTGGCTTTCCCCTACAGTCACACTCCGTTTCGGTGTAAAACCCCAAAACACGGTAGTCTGCCACCTTGTGTAAACAGTGGGCAACAACACATCAGTTCCTTGGGAAGAAACACAGTTTCTCTCTGCCAAGCGAATGACCTACATTGCCAAATAATACTCTAACTGCCAGAGAAAGACGTGATGAGTATTCAAATTCACTTAATCAATCAAAATAAACAATCAGTCGTCATAAAAGCAGTCTTTTAAAAGTTTTGATGCTTGGTTCATCCTCGGCCAAGAGATATCATTTTACATGCTTGCCTTTCCATGCATACACACACACGCGCACACACACACACACACACACACGCACGCATGCACGCACATGCACATACACGCGATTTAAGTCCAAATCAGGACTGCCGAAATGATACAGACGAGCCACGCAGATGTCACACGCCGCCTTCTGCGTGTTGGTGTGGAACGTGACGTGAGAGTCGGGGCTCACCTTTTCACAACCAGCTTCAGGGACTTATGCGACCCCTTGACCAGGCAGATCGCCTCCTGCCTAAACCCCGAGAGGCCGACGTCGTTGATGCCGACGATCTCATCCCCGGCCAGCAGCTTGTCCACCGCTGCGGCTTTGCTTCCCTCTTCGATCTGAAACAAACAAGGGTGTCACGTGAGCCTCTCGAACACACAAAACGAGTCCCCGGAACCCACCCGGGAAGACGGGCTCTGGGACAGGCCTCCCAATTAACCACCCAGCAGTTAGAGGACCCACCCGGGCCACCGTTCGCCGAGGGGACCGGGAAGGGCAGGCCACGCTCAGGCGCGCACACAACCAAGAACAGTGGCTCTGAGGACACTGGGTCACTCCCTGGCCCTGCTCTATCCAAGCGATAACGATGGATCGTTTTAATTCTGTCTCACACGTTGACCCTGGACCTAGTGAGAAGACTTTGATAACAGCCGGATTGAGATCTGATTCAAGTACTGTACGATTCGCCCGTGTGAACATGCAGGCGAGTGGCCCTTTTAGTACATTTGATGATGTGCGACCATCGGCACCAGCAATGCCAGAACACTCAT